ATCTAACCACAAGTCCTTATTCAAATAACCAGTAGTGATCGAATCGGGATGCGACTGAAATCCTGTCGAATATGTTATCACCGTGCTAAAGGTACCATCACCTATTCCAAATAAAATGCCCACGTTTCCTCTTCCAGAATTCGCTACAGCTAAGTCTAATATATTATCGCGATTGAAATCAGCTGTAGTAATGGCACTGGGATCTGAACCAACACTCGTTGAATAACTAACTGGATTGGCAAATGTACCATTTGTATTACCGATTAATATAACGACATTATCGATACGAAAATTTGCAGCGGCAATATCTAAGATGCTATCATTATTAAAATCACCGATAGTAACAGCAATGGGAAACGCTTCAACACCGGTTGGATACGCTGTCATATTGCTAAAACTTCCATTTCCATATCCATACAAAACACCGATGTTATGTTTACCGTAATTAGAAACGACCAGATCCGATCGATTGTCACCATTGAGATCGGCAACAGATATGCAAGTCGGCGAAGACCCTGTTGGCAAGGAACAAGTTATTTCGGGATAGAAACTTCCATTCCCATAGCCGATCACAATGCCAATACTGTCAGTACTCATTTTGGTAACTGCCATATCTAACCGATGATCGGAATTAAAATCACCTAGTGCAACAAACGATGGACGAGAATTTCGGCCCAATGAATACCGATTTTGGTCTACAGTAAATACGGAAGAATAATCCATTAGAATCAGAACTTTATTCGTTGTATAGCACGTGACTGCAAGGTCAGATCGGTTATTTTGATTCAGATCCCCGATAGCTACGGAATAGGGAGAATCATTGTCATTCGTTATATATGTTGCTATATTCGAAAACGATCCATTGCCATAACCTAGCAATACATGAATATCTCCATTGATTGAATCTAGTATAATAATATCCGTTTGATTGTCTTTACTTAAATCACCGGTAGCAACAAATTGTGGATATGCAGGAGCTTCGAGTGTCAGTAATCTCTGTTGCGCAAATGTGCCATTTTTGAAACCGTATAATATGCTTATACTAGGTACGCCAGAAGTAGCAACAACTAAATCGAGTATATCATCATTATTAATGTCTCCTAGTGCAAGAGAAGTAGGCCGTGAACCGTACGTCGTAGAGTAAAACGTTGGAGAAGAAAATTGACCATTACCGATACCGAAAAGAATAGCAATATTATCGATACCGTAATTTACAACGGCTAAATCTAAGTTTTTATCATGATTGAAATCACCTACGACAGTCGCGTATGATAGAGAATCATATCCCATTGAATAGCTTATTTCATTTGCGAACGCTCCGTTACCTTGATTAAGATAGATACTTATGCTATTAGTACCATGATTGACAACAACAAGATCCAATCGTTTATCATTATTGAAATCGCCCGTACTGAGATAGAACGGTCGTGATCTCATAGTCGAAAAGGTTACCATATTATTAAATGTTCCGTTTGATTTACCAAAAAATATACCAATACTGTTCGCGCCATATCTACCAACGACTATGTCAAGTAGACCATCGTTATTAAAATCGTTCACAACTAGGGAATATGGAACAGATTTCACTCCAGTTGAATAAGTTATTGAATCAATAAAAGTATAGTTATCATTGTTGAACAATATTTTAATACTATCTGTACCTGAATTGGTAACAATAATATCCAATTTACCATCTTGATTGAAATCTGCTAGTGCGACCGATCGAGGCCGAGAGTTGTAACTCGCCGAATTACCTATCGTTGGCACAAAAGCGCTTAAACATTTTTTATCTAAATAACGATATATCTGAAGTTTAGTTCGAGAAAAAGCTAAGTCACTGGTTTACCTGGCTTTTTATATGTTAAACATACAATCAAAATGCCAACTGTCATAGCTGTGAAAACATATGTTACAGTCAAAAGACTCGCCTTTTTTGTAGACGTAGACTGTTTCTCATAGTTTATCCTAATCCAAAAGAAGAAATCAAAGTAGAATATACCGAACAAAGCTTTACCTGACGACAATATTCTCGTCAGCTAAATTGGTGTGTACACTTGTAATCGATGATTGAGATCGATCAATCGGAGAGGTATGTTCCGAGTGTATATTAGTTTGAACGTGCGTGTTCATTTGTTCGATTTTGTGATTACCTGTCGAATGATAAAATATTTTCTTATATCGACATGCATGATCAATTATAAAATATTTTATTATTATCCCATTCAGAGAAAAAACAACGTAAGTGTCATGACAGATGAATCTTCACTAAGGCTATTTTGTCACATGTTAACTGATTACAGCGTCGATTTATCGATTTTTTTCCTTTTCTTTGTTGTACATATCTATTGAAGGCCATTCTCCTTCTGTGCTGCACAGTTACGTCTTGCCATCATCGATCGTGAGAAGCAATCGATGACTGAATGTGGCCTTGATTACGATATCGACATACTTTACGAAATAACATGATAATAATAAAAATTAAACGAACACACAAATAGAAGCAATTATATTTTTTTGTACAATCAAATGGATGTTTGACGTAATAATCACTGAAATCTTTTTGATAATGCAATAATCTATTCTACGTATTTCTACAGATGAAAAAATACATATACGTATGTGAGTGTCTTAAACCACGATGATTGCAACTCTTGTTTTTATTTTTTTATGTAAATCAGTGTCATATTTAGTCAGTTCAAATTGGTATTAAAAATAGACTTGAATGTATTTTTCTCTCATATGTATGCATACTTGATAAGGCCGAAAAAAAACTGGAAAGAACGAAGCTTATCATCCACTCATGAATACAAATATTTCGTCGTCATTTTAAAAACATCAAAGGAAAATAGACAGGAAATTGTTTCGTTTCATGAACTTGATTTCCAATGTATTTTTGATTTTGTCTCACATTTTTGACAAACGCATCATGCAAACAATTGGAAGCAGAAGTGTGTACAACCAAGACAAGTGATTCAAATATAACATCTGCACAGACGTTGCAAAGTAAGGATCATTTGCATACAATTGAATTATGAATACTAAGGACGGAGGAAATTCTCATACGACATACACACTTGACACCAGCAAAATCTGAGCGATCATTTTACGATGCTTTCGCCATTGCATTCCTTATCCTTGAAGAGTAAGGTCGCGTTTGATTCACTGCTCGAGTCATCAAACGAATATCAACGAAAATACCCAAGAACGGTGGAAACCAATCGTTGCCGAATTCATCACAGTTTACGATGCTTGCATCACCAATATAACATGAAAATCTGTAGAGGATCGAGTGAAGTCCACAACATCAAAACTTGATGAAACCGTGCAGAATATCCAGCTGAGACGGCAGGTAGTATTTTGTGGTGTACGTAACTACATCGATAACTAACAACTTGTGAGATTTCTATGGTATTAGTCAAAAGAGTGATAACATATAATCCGAAGAATCAACGTGAATGGTTCGAGGACAATGAGAAGAGCAAAGTTCAAGTTTCTTGTTAACGGGGTTTCATAAGATGGGCGATCATTTGTGGAATTTTCTTGCGTAGAACTAACATCACAGATAGAATACTCGTTCTAATCTTGTTCCGCATAATTGCCTTTTGAGAATTAAAATGCATCTTTTTTAATATGAAACATACAGTCTCTAAAGTTATTGAATTTGGATATACTGAATGCAGTCGAACAGAGATTACGAATATGTTTGATAGTGGTTGTAAATCACATTCGCAGACCGTTCGTCCTTAATAGCAGAGCTTCAGAAGACATATGCGCATGATTATGGAATGAATGACAACGAGACAGCGTTATAATCATAGATTAAAGTGTGAGAACGTTGTCACACAACGATTCGATGCATACTTACGTTTTCAATTTATTTGAACATGGCCTAGTCACTGTTCCTTTACTTTCTGTGCCATTCGATTCAATCTATCGACGATTGAATATCACGTCTGTATTTATTAATATAACAAAGAAGTAGCATCATTCAAGTACGTATTTTCCGATGCTTTTGATCATTTACATGCTACTATCAGTTATAGTCTATACTCCATCAAACTTCGTTTATTTCTATTATCAATACCGAAAAAACCACAACAACCAGAAAAGTCTCTGATTGTTAAACAGCTGGATCACCAATAATGTGATTCAATATAAATTTCAACCATTTCATAACAAAAATATCATCAAGCACTTCACATCCGATAGTGCTTGTAGATGAATCTCTTATAGGTACGGTTCTCTCGAAAGGATTCTCAGAGAAAAATTCTACGACAGACTCCGACTGTTCCGCCACTCTTCTTTTCCATTCTTCGTATGAAACATCATTCAGAGTCATACCACATTGCCGCATACACACAATCAGATTCTCAAATGATATTCCTTCGCCGAATGGAACAATGTGATGCACTTTCCCGTTGATATTCGACCACTGACGACTCAATGAGACAATACCTTGAACTGCTAAATTAACTGGTAGACCATTCAATCTTGTGTTGGTAGCTGTCGTCGGAAAGCATCCAGTTTTCATCATTGCTCTTATAAATAGTGTAAAGATGTCGTGCTGATTGCAAGCACCAGTTTCTGAATCTGCCCAGATTGATCCAAGTCGATAGATTGTCACTGACAAACCAAGACGAACAGCTTCAGCGATAAGCTTCTCCGCTACCCATTTACTTTGTGCATAACCCGTTCTCAGATGACCTGTCGACACTTCATCGATATGCACTTCGTGTTCTACAGTCGATGGTAGAACACTCATAGTAGATATGTAGTGTATCGGTATGCATCGCATCGAATGATGACTTGCAAAACGAATTACTTCTCGAGTACCAAAAACATTCGAACTGTAAAGATGTTCATATGGAAGCACAAAGTTGACTACAGTTCCACAGTGAAAGATCACATCTGTTTCATTTGCTAATGCAGAATACGTTTCCATCTCCATTCCAAAATATTCTTGTGCAAGATCACCTCGAACTGCAACGATACGATCTTCGTATGTTTCGTTCCATAATTGAAGGAATATCATGTTCTTCCGAATACGATCTAGTGGAGGTGTTGACATGTCACATCTAACTAAACAAATAAATTTACAATTATAAGGATATACTTTCAGTAGTTCAGCTAAGAGAAAACCACCAACGAATCCAGTAGTTCCAGTGATGAAAACGATCGCAGGGGAATCTTTTGCGTCTTTCGTTTCTTCGATGTTGACATTGAGCACTTCTGCAGCATCCTGTAACAATCGTGATTTGATTGAATTGGAGCGTGATGCAAGTCGAGATGGATCTTCAATCATTTGTGTGAGACTTTCTAGAGTCATATTCGAGTCAAATAGTAGATGCAATGGAATCGATACTCCCAAGTCATTCTGGATACTACGAGAAAGACGTACAGCAGCCAACGAGTCATTACCTAGAGAGATGATGTTTGTTGATGAGGTTGAACTGAAGTCGCGTCCAATAGCTTTTTTGACTAGACTTTTCAGTCGATCTTCGATTGATTCAGTTGCCTTCAATCGATCGTGGAAGTGAGCAACCAAACGATAACGACAAAGTTTCATCGACGATGTAAGCAAACCATTTTCTGATGTAAATGGTTCGAAGCTGATGATACATCGTGAAGGAATCTCATGTTTTCGAAGTGATTCTTTCGTTGCTAACGATCGCATATCATTCATTATAGCATCACACAGTAACTTCTCTGCTTCGCGATAACTGTTCAACTCTGCATTCAGATGATGTTTTTTCATAAATGCTTGAGCATATTCTCTGTTTGGCACAATCACTGCTATAACAGAATCTTCTAATAGATTCCCATGAATATAGATTTGTTCGACAAACGCACTTTGTCGATAAATATTTTCGAGAAACTCGGGTGACACGAATTGTCCTTGTGAAAGTTTGAAAAAGTTCTTTTTTCGATCAATAATCCGTATGATCGCTTGTCCATTCTCGACATGATGTACTTCAACAATATCTCCTGTACGAAAATATCCATCATCAGTGAATGCGACTTTGGTTTCTTCAGGATTGTTGATGTATCCAGAAAACATCTTGTTCGTTTTCACTAATAATTCTCCTCGTGCAAATGGTTTATCTTCAACTGTATATCCCATTTCGATAACTGATTCGAGACGATACTCGACTGAAGCTTCAACGACATTATCAAATGAGATGCTTCCACATTCGGTCGTTCCATAAGATTCCATAATTTCACATTGACCCGAAAAGCAACGCTTCATAAAATCAAGCACAGTACCACTTACCATTGCACCACCAATGGACAGAACTCGACATCGATTTGGAATCAACTTTGCAAATTGTTTCAACAGCATTTCTTCCGTTTTGGCTGCATCTTCATCTGATTGATCTGCTGTCATCAATGAGAGAGTTGCTTTATATTCAGAATAGATCTTATTCCAAATCGTCGGTGGACCTGAGAAGCTCGTTGGTCTCACTAAAAGTAGTTCTTCCATGAGAAGATCGACGTTGCCTGTTGAGAATCCTATTCGTCCTCCGCTGAGAAAGACAGCTATTGAACCTTGTCGATCCGTGGCCCATGCCAATGGTCGATAACAGAACTTCACATGTTCATCTCGAAACGATAAGTTCAACGGAGGGAAATTGCTTTGAAATGCACTCGCCGAGATCATCGCACCTTTCGGAAATCCTGAACTTCCACTAGTATAAATAATTGTAACACAATCATCAGGTTCACTCATAACAAACTCATATTGTTTCATCGAACCAAACCTTTCAATTGTCGTCATTCTGTGAATGAATAGACCATCGATCTTCGACATCGATTCATCGACAGGATCCATACATATGATATGTCGAAGTGATGGACACTCACCATGTATTCGAACGAATTTCGGTAACATCTCTCGGTCACATACGACAATGGAGAGAGGCGTATTTTGAACGATATAACTCACTTCACGATCGGTGAACTGACAATAGATGGGCACGGTGATGAAACTTTGTAGAATACATGCAAAATCAGTAATTAGCCATTCAGGTCGATTACTTCCACAGATACCAATAAACTCACGTGGCTTCATCAAACGACGCAATCCATGACTCAACTTCATGATTCGTTCACCGATAACTTTGAACGTTTCCCATGAATATGAATCACCATCTCGCACACCCATACAGAATCGATCTTCATAAGTATTGATCGCCGTTCGGATTCGACTTGCTAGATCTTGTCTGCTACTTTCCACTTGTTCAACATAACCATAGGCTATTTCACGAACCAATCGGTGAGGATGACTTGATACATCACTTGTGGCACATGTTTCACATTGATCATAATCAAGACAAACAGTACAATTCAAACGAAACTCACCATGTTTCAGAAGACGTTTACAATGATCACATTCCCAAAAACTTGGTTTCGTAAAAACTTTCGAATCTCTACTAGTCATCTAATACAATTCAAACTCTTGTGCAATGACTCTTTTCTTTCTCCTCTCATATACTACAAAGCAAAAACAAGATTTCTTTCGTTCTGTACACCGCGTGTCTGAGTCATCCACTAATCCTTTTCGTCAAAGGATAGCTGTACTGCATTGTGCACTGTTCTATTCTCCTAAAATCTTCAGTCAAACCAATACGATGAACAAAGATAGATGAATCATCGACGATATTCTTCGTCTAGAAAGACCATAATCAGTCTATATACAGACATCAAATGATGAAGGGAACGAAACGACCATCGACTTCTCCTAATGATGATCGAGAAAAGAAGAAGAAGAAGAAACTACAAAGTAAGATCAAGATGTGTCGATATTTTACCTTTTTCTCCGAACTTTCTTAGTTCGATTGAACGAAAGAACTTCGTTGACTTGTATCGAACACTTTTCCAACGAGTTATTCTATGAAATCTTCGATTATCTCGATGGCATCGATATCTACAATACTTTCACCGATCTCAATTATTGTTTTCATCAAATCCTCACTTCTCCATCTCTTCTACTCAAAATCAAACTCAACGATTGGGAATCAAATAAAAGATTTCCAATCAAATACAAACATTTTCTACAGATGAACAAACATCAAATCTTTTCTCTTAGTTTATCGAAATCAACAAGTCATGGTTTGTTTTTTTCCCGATTTCACCATCACTTCATCATTTATTCGACTTCAATCACTTTCTATCGAAGGAATTCAATTAAATCTTCTCATCTCACTTCTTCTCAAATTGACTCGTTTACCTTGTCTCTTCTCCTTGACTATCAATGGACTCAACACATTTCACAATCTCACCAATATCTATCGATTAATCTATGCATTACCGAAATTGAAATACAACAAATTTTGTTATCATGGTGATCATAGTTTCACTTCATTATCAAAAGCCAAAGAAAAACACTTCAGTCCACTCGAATATCTTATTCTCGATCATCCTTGTACTTTTCAAGAACTTTTCTCATTGATTTCTTATACTCCACATCTTCATCGCTTAACATTTCTACACAAATGGTTTATACACGATGAAAATTTCAATCAAATCTCATCGATTGATCTTCCATATTTATCTCATCTCACTGTCAATTCTTATTATGGAACATTTGATGATCTTCAAATATTTATTAGCAAAATTCACTGTAAATTAACCATTTTCAATCTTTTTATAGTATCTCCTGACATCACTTTCCTCTCGGGTGATCGATGGGAACGATTTCTCATTCAATATTTACCTCATTTAGTGGAATTTTCTTTCAAATATTCTTTATCTTTTGCTGAGATTCAGGAAAATGTTGACTTCGATCGAAATATGCAAAATCAGTTTCATTCTTCATTTTGGATTCAACAAAATTGGATTCTCGATGTTGAAATTGACTTCAATGCCATTGTTTATTCAATCAAACCATTTTGGAAACATTTCAATAGAAATTTACAATGGTTTTCTCAACAACAAGACTATTCAATGGAATTATCAAATAAACTTTCGAAATCAACACGATTAGTCATTATTTATGAATTATTTAATGACAATATGGATGATTTACTTTCATATATTGATCATAACGGGTGCGGCAGAATAAATGAGCCTCTCTGTATTTTGCGAATATCTTTCTTATAGTTCGACGTGGATATTTGAGTTTTTTTCCAAAAGATAGCCCGTGAAATTCTCTACAAATCCTGAGGGAAAGAGTTCTTCTAAAGAATCATCGTAAAAGTATACTAAGTCAATCTTACAATGCCCTAAATCAGTCCACTTTCAAAGCACTATCGATCAAACTTACCATTCTATATAGCTCCTTCGTTCACATGGAGAAAAGATTGCTAGGGCAATTTATAGTCCGTGAAATGCTCTATCAGTAGATGCAAACGTCATTTCGATATGTTGCCAATTTAGCTGGAAAAAGTGTGGCCTCTGTTTCCCGCTAATTTCATTCAAAAGATCTTACTTTAAGGTTCCTTGTAGTTTTGAATTCGACACACGAAATAAGCAGTTGTTATATATTCAGATTTATAACAAAATTGAAGTAAAATGTTTCCTCTCTGATTTTGATGGGAATAGGATGATACAAAGTTTGTTGCTGTAATGATTAAGACTCAGAACCGAACGAACCGATAGTTCCTTCTTACGTTTTAGGAAGACTGACCGATAGACACTCGCAATTCTATTCAAACAACTTCTTTTCAATTTCATGTAAAAAAGCGCGTGTAAAAATACAATAGAAATACATCAAAGCAGATTTTTGTAGTTATTTAGCTAGAAGAAATACAATAATTAGTTTTATAAAATGCGTATTTGAAAGTAGACTGATTTACGGCATTATAAGATTGACTTGGTATACTTTTACGATGATTCTTTAGAAGAACTCTTTCCCTCAGGATTTGTAGAGAATTTCACGGGCTATCTTTTGGAAAAAACTCAAATATCCACGTCGAACTATAAGAAAGATATTCGCAAAATACAGAGAGGCTCATTTATTCTGCCGCACCCGTTAGTTTTTTACTATTGATTATGTATTTTTTCGTTTTATAGATATATATATATATATAGGTAATAGATTGACAAAACTCTGAGTATTATGTCAACAAATGATGCTTAGAATGTTCATGAAACAATTCAACCTATATCAAATCTTGGAATTAAAAAATCTGAACAAAGAATTGATCATTTGATAATTAAATCAATTTTAGCAGGAATTCTTCTCTCATTTAGTGGTTTATTTCTTTTGACTGTTGGTGGTGGAGGCGGTCCCATAGATCAAACTCTTGGTGTAGGTATACATAGAATGGTACAAGCTGCTGTATTTCCAATCGGTCTTATAATGATTGTTACTACTGGTGCCGATTTATTTACTGGTAATACAATGTCTTTAATTATATCAACATTAGATCGAAAAACAACATTAATTAATCTTATTGTATCTTGGATAGTTTCTTACTTCGGAAATCTTGTTGGTTGTCTATTTTTTCAATATATATTTGTTTATTATGCAGGTCTTCTTTCAAATGAACCATATCGTTCATTTACAATGAAAGTAGCTGAATCAAAAAGTACCATTGAATGGCATCAAATACTTTTGCGAGGTATTGCTGGCAATTGGCTCGTATGTCTTGCATTATGGATGGGTACAAGTGCACGTGAATTAAGTTAAAAAATAATGGGTATTTTTTTTCCTATTTGGTTATTCGTTGCTGCAGGATATGAACATTCAATTGCTAATATGTTCACAGTTCAAATGGGTATGATACTTGGTGCTAATCTATCTGTTGGTAAATATATTTAATCGATAATGATACCAGTAACTCTTGGAAATATTATTTGTGGAAGTTTTTTTGTTGGTCTTACATATTGGTATCTTTATTTGGCAAAAAAAGTGCTACTGAACTGTCATCGTTTAATAACGATGATAAAACTATAGAACTATCATCTTGCAATGACGATGATAAATCTACAGAACTGTCATCTTTCAATAACGGTGGTAAAACTATAAAACAAAATGAAGAAATATCTCCTTGTTAACAATTGTAATTTCGTTTATTAATTTGTAACAGAACTGAAATAAGATTGTAACTTGGTTCAGTTCTATCTCATCAAACATTTTTAAACAGTACACTCTATTCAGAAAAATATCGCACTTTTATATAGTTGAAGAAAAAGAGAAAAACCCACAAATCTATATGGAAATGTTCTATCTAAGATGATTCGTATAGGAAAATACCAAGAATGAACGAAGGAAAAAAAAATGTTCAATGAACTCATCATAGAGAAAGAAAACAATACATAGTTCGTTTCGTAATAGCGGATACATTGGAAGAAAAAGGAAATATTTGTTAGATGTAGTTTAGTTTTTTTCGGATTAGAGTATATTGATGATATAAAGGAGATCGTTGTAGAGAAAAATGAATCGTTCAATTGTATATGAATTACTAGATCAATTCATCTCACTAATTATTTGCACACGTAGAAAATACCTGTCTTGCACAGTCAAGGGTAAAGTGAGTCGGCACGACGAGCGTTACTTGTGTATAAATAATCCCTAATTCTTTCATTGAATTTTGATTTGCAACTTCGAAAAACTAATATATACATAAATCCGTTTCACACGGTGTCTATCCTACCTATCAGTTCATTGTTTGCACAGATTTTCCATGTTATGGATCAGACTTCCTACGAAAATACTTCCTGTAAGAAAATCCTAAAATCACCTGATGAGTCCCTTGAGAAAGGGCGAAACCGGTCGCCATATATCTCATCTGAATTCTTGTATCGATACTATTGTTTTATGCTCAGATCGTTGGATCCTAGTAACTTGAACAGGCGATATCCTACAATGCAAAGTAAATAGAAATAAATAAAATAACTATCTAAATTCTCTTTTCTTGCGTATATGTTTTTACAACAAGTAAATATCATCTTGTTTTGTGAAACACGATCTGAAAGAGAGTGTTGAAGTGTTTATAGGAAGAAATTTGCACCCATCCCCACTCCCTCCACAAGCGTGACCGATGAACTGACTGCTCGGTCAACATCTCATAATGAAACTAACGGGGACCATATTTGTCTATTATATTCAGAGTCATAAGCACGAATGTATTGAAGTATTCTTTATTAATCAAAGATGAAATGAGTTCAAAAGAAAGGTTGAAGCTAGAAATATTTCTGTATGAGAGAAAACTTTGATTAGAGCTCACTATTATTGAAATTGGAAATCATAAAGTGAGAGTGCTTCATCCTATTTCACATTTTTAATCCCGTAAGGGATTGCGCTGAAAGCTTTTTTTTACAGGCGTGTAAGAACCATCAACACCATTTCCGTTTTTATCTTTTCCTGTGAAAATGTAACTGTTTGGTGCTTTTGACCAGTCAATAACTGCATAATCTGAAACAGCTTCAGGATTTGCTGCAAAACAACCGGCTGCACATTCAGAAGTGTCATCATAGACACTGGTATCTCCAAAGACACCAGTGTACCTGATGAATCCAGAAATTTCTTTTTCAATATCTTGCATTGATCGAGCCGATGAATATTTCCAAGGTAACCCCGCAAAATTATTTCGTAATGCACCCATTCCATATAATGTCATTTCAGAAGTACTGGAAACGATAAAGCTTTCAGACCCCGGTCCCCTACGAGTGCCTCGAGTATTTGTATATCCAAAATACAATGGACCGTAATTACTGTAACCGGTAAGATTTATATAAGTTCCGTTGCTTTTATAAACTCGAAAACCTGTGACCATACTTGATACAAATACTACTGGCTCTTGATCATTGATAAAATCAGATAATTTTTCACTTATGCTATTGTATAAATTGAAATATCTGCTCTGAAGTTTGTTAGGATTTTTGAAATTATGATATCCAGGACCATTTGGTTCACCTGGCCATTGACTGAATTTTATGAAAAATCCATTGACTGAAAATTTGCCCGCAAACATATACACAGGATCTGCATAACTGTATAAATACGGAATTGGATGTCCTGGACCTACATTGTAAATAAATTCAGGGGTAGAACCCAAAATACCAGTACCACCTTCCTGATTAACCATTTTTATGGATTTGACACCATTGGCGTCAGTTAGTAGTGTGGCTGGATTTGTCAGTGAGAAGACTACATCATTCTTTTTATTATCTATTGAGAATCCATTGTTTAGTTTGTTCCAAGAATGGTCAGTTGTCACTCTGTCTTTTACGCCTATCACTTTTCCATTAACATCTGTGTTCAAAGTACCATCTTTTTTCGGCGTTAAAAGGATAGTATATTCATTTTCGTCCAGATCACAATTGGTAGTTGTATAGTCACCTAATTTGTAATGACTGATCATTTTATTCCAAACAACACTTTTAAAGTTGGAAAGATACGTATCAGAACTTAATTCGATCTTTACATTGTAAGAATTCAGTGCAGATGCAGTTAACTCGAATGCAGCTCTAACATTTTCATTGTATTGATTGTAGGAGTAAAGTGTTTTACACCATCCTGCCATCCAAATTCCTTGAGCATCCTGATACTTGATAGTTAATTTTATATGATCATTTGTAAAAGGCTTCATGAGTTTTCCTTCCATGATCACCAATCCTTTCTGATTCACATTTTGTTGAATAACAATTTTTGGATCGAAGTCGTACGTATACGAGGTTAGAACTTTGTCCATACTTTTGTTCTGTGTTTTCTCTTCATAGTTGTGATTGGCAAATGTTCTGGAAGTAGCATGAATCGACACAACATAAAGTATTGTCGTCAAAATCTTCAAAGTAATTTTGTTTCTCATTTGTTTAAGCTTGTTTTGCAAGAATCAAATATTCTATTCGTCGATGTGTTTCGTATTTTAACAAAGCTAGTATTCTTCCAGCCTGTTATATATACTTTGTGGCAAGTTGTAATAAGATCAGAAAACAGAGGAAGCACAAGAAAAAAGGAAGTAAAATAATCCTCCACATATTTTGTTACTATTAGGATATGATCAATATTGCGTTCTATTCTTCATACCAAAGGCGTCAATAACTTGTCATTTTTCCCATCATTTTTTTTTTGAGTCAAGATCAATAACAAAGGATCGACCATTTAATTCTTGAAATTTAATTTTCATCGTACTGTCTCAGAAGAAATACTTTTTAATAAATGTCGAAACCCCGATTTGAAATCTGACGTGAGTGTGAGGTGCACTTCCATAAAGATTTTACGACAGATTCATCGTATTCGATTATATCGTTTAATCGATTGCTCAAATTCTTCGTTATAAGCTTTCGATGATACGACGAAAGTTATAAATATTGATATTATACGTGGTATAGCAAGAATAATCCAAAGAATTGATAAAATAAATAGATGAGTATGTTTTCGAATTTCAGTGATGACTAATATTTCAAAAACGAACATCAATTCGAAGACCGACTGATAATATTAAATGATACAACATTATGAAATACATTTCACATTGAATTAAGATATTAAAACGTAGATGAACAGAAAACAATACAACAAATACGTTTATTTTCTTCATTGTCAGTATCATAAATTAGACGTCGATGAAATAAATAACGCTCGTCGAGAGTGACTCGCATTACCCTCGACTGAAAATATGAAGATAATGTATAATCAAGTTGTTTTTCTTTAATTTTACGTACGAGAAAATACTTTTCAATTTGAAGTTTATTTATTGGTTTGCAACAATGAACAAAGAAACATTAAGGATATGATGAGCAACTACATGAAAGAAGAGAAATAAACTGTATTAACTTTAACTAACCTTTAAACAAGTAAATAATGAGTACGAATAAGAAAATCAGTGTGAAGCTAGCACGAAGGAGATAGCACGAAGAAACTGTGTGTAAGCTAAAAACTTTTTTCCAGAATTTGTCCGGCCCATAAAACCTAGTCCATTCGATTCAGAATTTAATTCTGCATCGAATGGTAGTAGTTTTATTCACNACATATATAAGAGGAGGGAAAGAACCACACGCATATGTAAAAGACAACGAACAGAGAATGTTCCAACACTATAAGGATAATTCCAATATGTAGAATCTGCACATATTGGATAATACCTACATCTCTCCCCTTAAATCAATGTGGCGGTCTATAACGATCTGGTGGTCGATGATTTCGACGTGGATATCTTGGTGATCGTGATTGAGACGGTTGAGCTGTTGGTGTCGTTGTTGTTGTCGGTCTGGTCGTTTCCAATAAATCATCAGGAAGACTATCAGTTTCAGACGAATTACTATTTGATGAATAACGGTGACGTAATTGATTCTGATGATGTTTATGTCGCTGTCCATCTGATGATTGAACCTCGTACAATATTGAACTGATTTGTCTAGTGATAATTCCTGGTTGCCATCGAGATTCTTTTTTCACATTATGTTTCAATCGCCATACCAACTGTCCCACAGTGAATTTAGCCATGTTTTTTGGTTCAGTTGGTTTAGTTGGTTTCATTGAATCAAATTCTGTTTTAATTGAATGTTGTAGCATCATATTTGCCGGGCACATTCCAGTGGAGGTGTGTGGTGTCCATCGATAGGTTCGTAGAAAATTCCGTAGTGCAATCTGTTTGTTCGATTGTCCTGACAATTGTTCCTTCATCATAGCTTCTTTAAATGAACGAACGAAGCGTTCCGCTAAACCATTACTAGCTGGATGATAAGCTGCCGTTGTAGTATGATTGATACCATATCTCTTATAAAATTGATTCATCTCATGACTGTTGAATGGTGGACCATTATCTGATACTAAAGTTTCCGGAGGTCCAAGCCAATCAATAATTTGATCAAGTACCTGAGTTAAATTTCCAGCTGTGGTATTCTGACCCATATCAGTGACAATTGGAAACTTAGACTTAGCATCAACCATAATTAGCCATTTGGATCCCCAAACTGGTCCAGCAAAATCCATATGAACACGAGACCACACACGCTCAGGTTCTGTCCATGATTGGTACTCCTGTTTTGGAATTGGTTGTACCTGTGAACAAATTTTACAGGATTTAGCAACTTCACTAATGTCCCTGTCGATCTTTGGCCACCAGCAATATGATCTAGCGAGTTGTTTCATTTTCACGGAACCCAAATGATTGCGATGTAGCATTTTTAAGACTCGATCTTGTAGACATTTGGGAATTATTACTTGAGTATCTCTTAGTAAACAGCCACTGATTTCTGACAATGTATAACGATGATTAAAATATGGCGTTAAATCAGAATCCTTCAGCTTTGAATTAGGCCATTGAGTACGAACAAATCGCTGGACTGTTCGAAGTGTTTTATCGGTTGCTGTTGCTGAAGCGATTTCCGCCGCATCTAATGGCCATTGTTGAGTAAGCTCAGTTTGAATATATCGAATTTGAGTTGACTCAACATCATCGAATGAATTATCATCAGCAACCGGTAAACGAGATAGCGCATCAGCATTGGCATGAGCATGCGTCGGTTTGAAATTTATGTTGTAACTGTATGTCATCAGAAACATTGCCCAGCGTTGTAGACGATTGGCAGTTGCCACTGGAATTGGTTTGGTAGGATTAAAGATTGTTAATAATGGTCGATGATCAGTATTCAGTTCAAAAGTACGACCAGCCAAATATTGATGAAATTTCTTTACTCCAAAGATGATAGAAAGAAAATGCTTCCTTTTCCACTTGACTATAATTTCTCTCTATTGGTGTAAGTGTTTTCGAGGCATGCGCGATTGGACGTTCAGTACCATCTTCATACCGATGCATGAGTACCGCTCCGAGACCATATTGAGAAGCATCCGTAGCCAAAATCAAAGGCAATTTAGCATCGAAATGTACCAACGTTGTAGCATTGGCAATTTCTTGTAGCAACTGAGTGAACGCTGATTGACATTCACGGTTCCAATCCCACGAAACATTTGCTTGTCGTAAACGATTTAGTACTTGAGATTTGGTAGAAAAATTCGAAATGAAACTACCATAGTAATTCACTTTACCAATGAATGCTTCCAGTTCTTTCAAGTTCGTCGGTGGTGGCATTTTTGTTATTGCTTCTACTCGGGTTGCATCTGGACGTTTACCGTTTTTATCAATGATGTATCCCAAATACGATACTTCATTCTGTAAGAATGCACATTTATCCGGATTACAAGTGAAGCCAAATTCTGCTAGCTTTGATAGTACCATATCTAGTGTTCGAAGATGTTCATCTTCAGTTCTACCAGTTATCAAAATATCATCCAAGTACGCTACAGTGTTTGGTATACCAGCAATAACTTGATCAATGACTCTCTGGAAGATTGCCGGTGCGCTAGCAATGCCAAATGGTAGGCGATTATATCGAAACAAACCTAATGGAGTATTTATAACCAATAACTGTTTACTTGGTTCATCCAATTCTATTTGTAAATATGCATCTGACAAATCCAATTTACTGAACTTGATTCCATTATTGAGACGCGTAAATAGCTCATCAATCGATGGAATTGGATGTTGGTCAATCCATATTTGCGAATTCACAGTTACTTTAAAATCGCCACAAATCCGAATTTTTCCATTAGGTTCCTTCACTGGTACGATTGGTGCTGCCCAAGCTGACGTATCCACACGTTGTATAATACCAGCATTAACATTACGCTCGATCTCCTCTTTGATACCTTCAAGATATGCAAAAGGCAATGATCGTGACTTAAAAAACTTCGGTGTAGCATCTGCTTTCAGCTGGATATGAGCTTGGACTTTGGTACAATGTCCAAGTTCAGAATTCAAAACATTTGTATGTTTCTTCAATATTGATTGAAGATTTGAATCATCATAAATCTTATGAACCATGGTTTGATGCTTTGTACCATATAGGATATGGTTGAGATCCAGTTGCATGTGATAGATCCATTGAAGTCCAAGTAACGATGAACTTGCATCATCAACCACGATTATTGGCAATTGGTATGTTTGCTTGTCATACCTGACAGTAACTAAACATTCACCTCTGGTCGTAAGAATTGAACCATTATAGCATTGTAATTTCCATTTCGACGAATTCATCGACGGTGAACCCAATTTACGCCAATCATTTATACCAATAATTGTATTCCATGTTCCAGTATCCAGTTGAAATAAATGATCATAGCCATTTATATGTAATGGAATTGACAGTGAATGCAAATCCGATTTTACATTCGAATTCGTAGAATTCAACTTGTAAATAGTTGATATAGAATTTGTCGATGTTGTTTCCTTACGACGTCGACATACACGCTCCAGGTGTCCTTTCTTCTTACACCCGTTACATATGAATTCACGGTACTTACACTTTGATCGACTATGATTTGTCCCTCCACAACCATCACATGGTTTATGATTACTCGCAGATGGTTGATTATCTCGTTGTCGTTGTGGTTGTTGTCGTTTAGGTTGATTACCATGAACTTTGGCCACAATGACATCGTTCTTATTTATCGATGTATTAAAATGTCGTACATCTTCTTCTAGTCGTTCAGCTCGCTGAATGATTCTCTCGGTTGTTTCCAAATCCGGATCTTGTTCTTTTAGCAGTGCCTGACGGATCTTTTGACTGTTGATACCCATGACATATATATCTCTCAGGGAACGTTCCTGGGGTTTAGTTGCCAAGACCGACGATGTGAAGCCACAGTATCTTAACTTTTCACAAAGTTCTGCCTTCCATTCGATGAATGTTTGGCCTGGTTTTTGATGGCATGAGTAAAAATCAAAAGTAGAGGTCATTATGTTTTTTGATATATCATAATGACTATCCAACAACTTGATTAATTCCATGAACGTTATCTCAGCATCAGTTAATGTACGTGGTGAAATCAATGATTCCAGCAATTGATACGTTCGATCTCCAACAGACCATAAGAATAATGCTTTTTTATCATTATCCGTTGTGATGCGATTGGCATGGAAATAGAAGCTTATTTTGTCCCGATAAGATTGCCATGTAATTGTATGAGGATCGAACGCATGTAGAGACGGAATAGACGAAACTGTAGGTGGATGAGCGGTTGTCATGGAGTTGATAGTTGTTTGTTATTGTACTGTCAAATGGTGTGTGTTCGAATAAATCAAACTCGTCGCCAATGTAAATTTAAGGTAGAGAAGGAATCCCTAGTTTATTGCTGATCAACAATAGAAGATGACAGATGAAGAAAGATAAAAGAGAACGGGAGGAGAACAACACATATACATATGTGGTCACTATATATATATATACGATCACGATAAGGAATCATCCCATACATATATAAGAGGAGGGAAAGAACCACACGCATATGTAAAAGACAACGAACAGAGAATGTTCCAACACTATAAGGATAATTCCAATATGTAGAATCTGCACATATTGGATAATACCTACA